TTCTTGGCAGCCAGGGCACACTGCTGGCTCATGGTTAACCTGTCGTCCACCAGGACACCCAGGTTCCTCTCCTCAGAGCTGCTCTCCAGCAGGTCAGCCCCAAGCCTGTACTGGTGCATGGGACTCTCTGTGTCTACAAATTGGTCTCAAACTACACTGAAAAGCACGTACCAACAGGACACAGCCAGAGCTGTTGCTTGTGGGCGGAAGTCTCTGCCAAAAACTAAACAGAGCTTTATGTAGGTAAATCCTTCGTGTAAAAGCAAAATATAACTTCCTTTCATTTCACTCCAGAAACAAGGAGGCGAGGACGTCCTGTTTCACCGTACTGCTGTCATACCACTCCACTGAATGAGCTACCAGACACAGCAGAAGGTGGCTATAAACAAACTCATTCTGCGTGTTAGAATTAAGCTCTAACAGTTTCACAGCTCTTTCCCTGCCATCCCACTTTGCCATCATGTCAATAAGTTCAGATTAGTGAAATGTCCCTCAGCCTCACCTCTGCCTGGGGTGGGGGCAAGAGCAAAACTTCAGAAGACCAAGCAAGAAGGGAAGTTCATAGTCAGAAGCTACAGTTTGGAAAGGCAGGAGAGCAATCGAGAGCCATAAGCAAGGGTCCGACACCACAGACAGAAACAGAAGACAGAAACTTAAAGATGCAAAACCAGAAGAACAAGGGTGCCTGCAGCAAGATACCCAGACCTGCTGACCACATTCCACCCTTCGCTGAGGACTTCTGCCCTTCCCTTGCCTTGTCTTGCCTTTCTCTGTTACAGCTAGATACCTCTCATTAGTCATGTGGGTAGTGGAAAATCATTAAAATTTCCCCCCCAAAAATATGACAAGAGGTGAAGGCTGAAGGACAGACAGTTGAACAGGGAAAGAATCGTATCAGGAGTCAAAAGATGAAGGATAAGATTTGTTAAATAGATTGAACAGCCTTAAAATGTCATATTTTACCTTAGTGAAAAGACACGTCAAATCTGCAACAGCAAAGCTGTGCCTCTCTCTGTGCCACTGGCTTTGCGCGCTCTGCAGAGCATCATTGATTTTAACGCAGGCTAGCACTCAGCAGTCCACGAGAAGGGCCTCTGCCACGTGACCGTATTTTATATGATGCAATTTTTATTTATTAAGTTACTGAAAGAACAATCTGTGCGCGCCTGGGACAGCACCCACCCTGCAGTAAGTCAGCACCCACCCCCTGCCAGTGCCATGTCCCTGCAGATCCCGACGGCTCGCCTCTGCAGGCACCGCTCTGCCTGCCCCCTCTGCAGCCAGGCACAGCAGGGCGGGAAGGGGCAGGGGCACATCCACTGCACGTTTTACAGTCTGCAGCTGCTTGGATGCTGAGAGTAAAATAAAACCCCCTAATTTTACAAATGTAATCAAAGCAAAACAGCGACATGGCTATACAAAAAGACCCAAACCCCAATTTTTGAAACATTTTGGACATCATAAATATGGCACGGCACCATAACAGACACAACGGGGCTCTGGAAAGACGGAAGAGCTGAGAGTAAAATAAAACCCCCTAATTTTACAAATGTAATCAAAGCAAAACAGCGACATGGCTATACAAAAAGACCCAAACCCCAATTTTTGAAACATTTTGGACATCATAAATATGGCACGGCACCATAACAGACACAACGGGGCTCTGGAAAGACGGAAGATTTTATTTTCTCTGGAGAAACATGCTCAGAAGCACAGCGACGCAGCAGCGAGCCTGCGTCTGGATCCGAGTTGGGAGAAGGGGCGACAAAGCCCGTAGCAGCGGCGGCGGGAGCCAGCCTTGCCGCCCAGCGCGCACTGGAACAGGACTCGGGCAGGACACAGCAGGTGAACGGCAGCTTCGCACCTC